AAACAAAACTTACTTTTTAACCTCACCACAAACCTGCTCTGAGTCACATTTTCTTAATCGCCTGGCTTAACATCTTACATCCCTCTCATTCTCCACATCCAACTGATTATTTCTGCCCTGTCTATGTCAACACTCCTCCAATCCCATCAGTACTACTCTAGCACAGGTCTTCATTTTCTAACAAAGACTCTTATAAAGCTTCATTATTGGTCCAATGGTTTCTTGCCCAATTCTATTCATCCTCAGTATTACTAGATAATACACCATATAATTCAACTCTGACTATGACATTTCCAGGACCAACAAAATTCAATCTAGCAGTTTACTAAACCAGTCCAAATTCTCTACCTAGCATTAAAAGTCTTCCCTGTTCTAGGCCAAAAGTAATTTTTTACTTAATCTTCCTCCTATTCCCCTTCATACATGTTTAATTTTTTTCCCTACCTCTGCCATCTCCATCTCATCTGGTTATGTATTTTCAACAAAGCCAATTTCCTTCCATCTGCATTTATTATCCTATCCTTCTCCATGCCATACCAGTTTATTGGAAAACATCCTATTGGAAATAGGAAACATCCTATTTCCTCACACAGGAAATCAGAACATTCATGGGAAGTCCTGTAAAATCTAGAAAATAGATAAGGATGGGAAAGACAGTACTGTTACTGAACTCCCATGTCAAAAGAAGCAGCAGAATGCCATAAAAGCTTTTCGGAACATTTTAAAAAAACTGGAATCATACCTGGGATAATGGATGCTAACAGCTTATCAGGATTTTTCTAGATTACTCATGGATCTAACAGACCTTATGGTCTAGTGAAAATAAACACACATGAACTTTATAATGCAAGCTGGTAAAATCACACTCCAATCAAGGTACAAAATGTTTAGAAGCACAAGAAAATGACAGTTCTAAGAGATGAAGAAAACTTCACAAAATACCAGCTAACAGAGGCCTTTAGGACTTCAGTGGGTTATGAGTAAAAGTATATCAGGCAACAGAAGCAGTCTAAAGGAAAGGTAGGTAGAAAATGATAGCAATATAGGAGAAATAGAAAATGAATTCATGGTCCCTAAAATATTACTATTTTTAATGTCTCTAATCATTACTTACATAGTTTTAATGAATTTGCCCTTAAGTGCTATTTGAGCTCAGCATTCTGAGTCAATGAATTCCTGAAAATATGCAAGTGATCATCACCAGGATGGATTAACAGTTATTAAACAGGGTTTTCACAACTCTGTTGGATCCCAAGCTATATTATAATTCCTGAATGTGGTGTTGTACAGAGTCTACTCAACAGGCCGCCTCTTCAGCATTCCTGCAGCAATAGGAACAAAGTGCTTTTAACATTTAGGATCCCACTGAAGGTGTCACACACATTGTAATCAAGAGAAAATTAAATAAGTTAAGGACGAATAACCCCATAATACAAAATGTAAAAGGCAAAAATCAAACCATCTCAATGTCTAGTCTACATCTCTCAAATAGCTCGTGTATTAGAAGTCTTAGGGGAAATCTAGATGAACCACATGATCCAAACTGTTTCTATCAGGTTCCTCCTCTCAAGAATTTAAGATCAAGGCTTAATGATTTAGTCTCTCCCTATGCTTGGTACCAAGAGACATTTAAATGCTAAGGAGCTACTGAACAGTCACATTCAATGATGCACAGGAAAGCAGGGGGAGAAAAGGTAAGCAGAGAGAACAATGAAGCAAAGAAAGGCAAAGGGAAAGCTTCAGGTTTTCCAATCCCTGACGCCTAATAACTTTTGTCTGCATTTGGCTTCCATCAAATTCCTTTCTTCTTTTCTTTTTCCGAAAACTACTAGTTCAAGTTCATTTCTGTTAAAGAGGCAATAACCAAAATCCTCCATAATGGCAAATGGTTGACTTATTACAAGTCTACCTTTTCTAGACTTTCTTCTCTCTCTATTTGTATTTCTTTAAAAGCCATATGATTTTGACACCTATAGAAACAAATATATAAGCAGAAATCCGGGATCATGCTGAGCATTTTAAAATGAAAATCTATTATGCCCAATAAGGAGAAAACAGGAATATTCAAGATAAAACCTCAAGATATCTATCTGTACAGCAGTCATATGCTAACTGGCAAACTGAAAAGCAGATTACCCTACGCTCCTATTCAAAGCTAATTTAATTCTGAATAAGGTAGGTAGGTCCAATTCATTCTCCTCTGAGGTATGACCAAAATAAAATATAACACAGTATGGGCATTTTGTATGGAATGCTCCCAAGTAACTAGCTATAGGCCTCCCAATAACAGAAAGTGTTGGATGCTCTCCAATGGGATCCCTCATCTGGATCCAAATTCCAAAACTGAATACTAATCTAACTTAGGACCTGAGCTTAACTTATCCCCAAAGACCAATTAGGCATTTTCCCTATGACACAGCCAACACTTTCTGCTATTGAATGAGAAGAAAGTTACAGAAACTTAAAATCATGGAACTCTGTCCAGGTTTACGTGTCTATATGCACTTGTCAGGTATCAAGACTCTCCTAAGGCAGACCTAGGCTCCCCAAAGCTGGATCCGCACCCTTGAGAACTGACTGCAATAGACCAGTTTAACATGTATAGCAAGTCAGAGTTGACAATCTCATGTTTGAACCAATGTAGTAGGCGGCTCTGCAGGATTCTATAAACAAAAACAATATAGCATTCTGGAATTAGAAGGGACATGGAGACTATGTCCAACTTCATCATTTTACAGAGAAGGAGGCAAACATCTGAGCCAAATTTTCAAACAAATCCCTAACTATAAGTAACACCAGTAAGAACATAATCAAAAGGAGTAGAACCAGATTATGATAAAACCAAAAAGCACTTTCTAAAGATTCTTTAAAGGCTGAAATTTTAATTTTAATTAAAAATGATAAAAGCATTAGAAAAATCTACCAACAGTACTAATGGGATATTTTTTGGATATTCGTGTTACTTGAGGTTAGCAAGAAAGTAAAGATTTGGGACCTATGAGTTAATATCTTAGTTAAAATATATGAAGAAGCACATTTATAAACCAAAAAACATGTGTTGATTCAATCTAAACAATGTTGCATGGTTGCAACCTTGGCAGACAGGTAGTTTAGGCACAGTGACAAAATTCTAAATGGCAGAAAGCTACTTATTTTAATATTAAAAAACAGTCCAGACATTCGCATAGGGTCTTAATTAAAGCCACCAGAAATTAGACCTTGGATGTTAGCTGGTACCAAAATTTCAAGAATAGATATTTAAATGGACCAAGTATAAAAGTGGTGTTCAAAATAGGTGGCAAAGGATCACAATATGGTGGATTTTGGTCTTCAAAGGCTGCTTAACCCCAAATTTTATAGATAACTCACGAAGATCACTGATAAAATGTGAACTCAGAATGCGCTGTGTTTCCCAAGAAGTGCTAATAAAGTTACTCCTAAAATATGAATCCATAAAAAGTAGGTCTTTTTGAAAAATAGTACTAATCAGAAACATCAAATTGATATAATTAATATTTATAAGCTGTACATTTAATAAAGTTACACATTGTAAAAATCTTTTTAATCTGATTTGAATACTGAATACTGAAATATTAAGTTACCTGAATACTGAAAATATCTTAACAGACAGAACTATCTTTTAAAACCTATTTGCCATCAATGCCGTAAATGGCTATATGAAGGACAGACCAGAGATGCTAAGTATAATCTCTACTTAACAGTTAGCTTTCAACTAATTCATAAATCCCAGTTATGAGCCATCTCTTGACAGTTTAGTCTATTCGTGGCAAAAACAAAAGTAAACTAAAATTTCCCCCAAAATCTCAATTGTTAGAAATTATCATTTTCCATGGCCTATTCCCCATGACATCAACCAAGAAGCTATATAGTTAGGGACTAATCACAACTATAAAAGTTTATGCAATTTCACACTTACCTTAAACTCTACTTTCATAATACTTTTTAAAATAACCTTGGGGGGAGGGGTGGGAAACTTATGGGGACTATGACCAAGATGAGGGTGCATACATTTGCAAAAATGAAAAATGTAAAAATATATATAAAATAAAATTAAAAAAAAAGAAAAAGAAACAAAATGAAATAACCTCACGTTAAAAAAAAAAATTCCTCACTCTTTTCCACACGAATGAAAGAAAACTGTCTACAAACATCATTTAAACATCATCCTGATACCACTTTAGAATTACCTCCCTTGATAGCTTCTAGTCCTCAACCAAATAAGGCCGAAATGCCACCTTTCGCTGCCACAGTTTGAAGTGAAATCGTGCAATGCAAAACTTAAAAAACACACTTGGATGCTTTTTTCCGCGTAATAACAACATAAAACCGGTACCTGGCGAGCCCGCGCCCCTCGGGGTCTTGCTGGGGTTTGGCCTCTTAAATGCCAGCGGGGCCGGCCGGAGCCGCGGCGGGTGCGCCCTGGGCGCGCCCCTCCAAGCCGCCCCCGCGGCCGCCGGCGCCGCCCGAGCCGCCCCGCGCCCCAGCCCGGGATGCGCAGCGGGAGGTGCGGGCCTGGCGGGCGCTTCCCACGCGCCGGGGCCCGTTATCCGAGCGGCCACCTCGGCGGGGCCGACCTGCGCAGCGCGAGGCGTCCCGGCCCTGCGGCGCCCGGAGCGGGGTCCCCCTCCCTGCGCCCCGCGGGCCACCCCGCCAGGCCCCTCCCTTGGGGCCCGCGCCCGGCGAGAGCCTCCCGCGGGCTCAGGTTCGCTCCGGGGACGGGGTAGGGTGTCAGGCGAGCAGCCAGGCGCCGCCCGTCGGCGGGGGCGAAGCCAGCCTTGACCTCCTCCCTCCTCCTCCCGGCGGCGCCCCGCGCGGGGCGGGGTCGCGCGCCCCCCCCGGACTCTGGAAAGGGGGTGTCCGCGCAGGAGGCGGAAGGGGGCTCGGCGCGCTCGGAGGGAACCCGGGGTGAGGTCACACCCCAACTTGGCAGCGTCGGGAAGGGAGGGGTGAGGCGCTGCGGGGAGGGAGCCCAAACTTACCGCGCTGCGGGGCTCCCCGCGCCGCGCCGGCGGCCAGGCACAGGCAGAGGCACAGGCAGAGCGGGAGCAGGCGCGCGAGGGTCCGCCGCGGGCGCATGGAAGGGCCGGGAGCCGCTGTCCGAGCTGCTCCCTCCCTGCGCGCTCCGGGCGACGGACGGGGCGGCGGGAGGCATGACGGGAAATTCCTGGGCACGGGCAGCCGAGTCCAAATATGAGCATAGGAGCCGCGCGAGGGAGGACGGCGGAGCGCTGGCCGCGGACGGGGCGCGCTGCCCGGGCCTGGCGGCCGCCAACTCCCCCCTCCTCCTCTTCGGGATCCTCCTCCGCGGCTGCCCGGGGGCCGCCGACCGCCGACAGCCACGGGGGACCGGCGCCCTCTTGCCCGAGGGCATCCCGGGGCCCGAGAGCTGGGTGGGCCAAGCATCCCAGCCACAGGTCCCACCTAAGACCCCCTGAGGGTGGAAGAGAGACCACCTCGGGCCTGGACAGCGAGCCAGGGACCGTGGGAGGATTTATGAGGGATTTTGAATACTCTTGCTTGCGCTTCCCCTAATAAGTTGAACTCTTTGGCAAGGGGATGGAGAGGTCTGGCGGGTATTTTCCCTCAATGTGGGAGAGCGAGGCTGGAGGGCGCCCATTCAGGTGGACGCGCTCTGGAGAGTCTCCCCTTGCGCAAGAAACAGGCGTTGTAATCCATAAAGCCACCCTCCTGCGCTTCAGGTGAGTGCGCATTCTACACCAGGTGTGTGTGTGTTGGCAGGTGTGGGGTTTTTTAAGCCAAACTTGCAGGCAGATCTTCCTAAATTTATATCAGAACACCATAAATGGAGTTGGGGCAAGCTGAGGGACGATAGTTTTCACGTTAGCCAAATGCTGTTTAAACTAGTCTTTCCTTCCACCTCCAACCTCTCTTCATCCCCTTTATACTAGTTTATATTTGTAAAGGGCAGTGGCCCTTAGCTTTTTAAGACAACATAAGTGTGCCTTAATTACTGTAATTTTTTTTTTTTTCCTCACACTGATGGGACAGTCCTTGGAAATGTAGGATGTTAGGCTAATGCTTGTGAACATTTTAAGATGCTACAGGAATGATTAATGGATGCAAAATACATAGGGGTAAATGTCAAACAGATTTAGAGTGTCGATTATTCTAATATGAACTGAAGTGACGGTAATTTGTACAACACACTGTTTGTTTGAAAATGCTATATCTGAAAATCAGAAAGTTGATTTCAAAACAAATTCAATTCTGGCAAAGTATTAAGGCCTATAAGCCAAAAACCAGTCCATTTGCAAGTAGCTCCCCTTAAATCATCTAGTACTGAACAACACAGCATACCAAGAATTTCATCTGGTATACGGGGAGATTTCACTCTCTATGTATTGGTAGTGATAATGGAGCTAAAGGCAGATGACCTAACTTAACTAATGGGGAGTAAGCAGTAAATGAAGGATTTAAAAGACACATAACATTGCTATTCAATTAGGTACTCAGAAGCTGAGTAGTTGGGATTCTCTGGAGACTCTTCTCCCTTCCCTCTTTTTTATATTTTTAACTTTGTGTTACATAAGCATCTGTTTTTCCTTACTTCCCCCACAACACCTAGCATAGTTCTTTGCCCATAGTTGGAACACTTGTTTAAAAACAAAAATAAAATAAGCACAGTCTGACATGTAGGAGATCCCTAAGTGTAAAGAAGTTGGTTTCAAAAGAATTATAGTAATTACAGCTATATTTAAAATGTTTTTGTTGAGTACAAAAACATAAAATTATAAAGAATTATTACTAGTATGAGGTTGACTGTTATTACAAATTAATATAAGTGACAAGTTAATTGACAGAAACATTAAAGGCTGTTCTAAAGACTTGATTAAGTATATTAAGGGGGGGCAATTAAAGTTACTGAGTCCATAGTAAGTGCCAAACACTGTGCTAGATGTCACTGAGCTTCTTAGTTTTTCATCCCTGTTTTACAGATAATAAAGGCATAGACAAAAAAGTTATGCTACAAGAAGTGGGTAAATACTATTGAAGTTCAGACTTCATTCCTAAGTGTATGTGTACTCTTTTTACCATACTAATCTGCCCCATTTTCTTTAGATTTAAAAATGGGGTATTAAAAATTGTATTCATTGGGCTTTTGTGTGCACTCAGGTTACCTCAAGTAATAGGAGTAAAGAATACTTGTGGAAATTTGACCAGAGACTTAACTGGCTCAGCAGGTCATCCTTTGTGGGCCTCAGGGTTACCAGGAACAGGAAAAGTACTACCCTCTGACCACATTCCAAGGAGTTTTGTACTTTAACCACATATATTTAAGTCATATATTTCACAATGTTTTCTCTTTTTTAAAAAATTATAATCTGAATAACAATCATGTTAACATATCACCTTAAACATTGTTTTTAAGACAAAGGACCCTGGTGCTTATACATCAAGCCTCCTCCAATCCAAAGGTGTGCTAGTAACTGTTTAACCAACAAAACTGGAAAAGGAAGACTTGATTGTAATTTAAAAAAAAAAAAAAAAACAACTTCTGTAGTGTATATACTCCCACCACTCTGAGTATCTGAAGGTAGAGTTGGGAAGAGACACACACAACCAGTAGTCGAGACCTGTTCAAAGCCTGTCCCAGCACACCTCTGCCCCAGATCCTCATAAAATGTCTTCAGAACACAGTGATAATTCAAGCTATACAAACACAGCCCTTTGTCTCTATGCCTGTCTTTCCACTTTTGCTCCCACTACTAGCTGCCAATTTACTCTAACTCATAATCAAATGCCCCAGAGGGGAGAACCTGATTCTGTCACCATTGTTTCTCTTGGGGAAACTTCTTGCATGAGCCTATCTCAGAAGCCCCTGAGCAGCCTATTACCTCTGAACCCAGTGTCTTTGCTTGGTCCTTCAATTCTGGTGGTTTGGAAGGCTCACATACCACACCATGCTAAAGAAACAGATTGTTAACATTTTTAGGGGCCTGGGGTTGTGACAGTCTCTTTCAAAGGGAGTCTGTAAGTATGATAGGCATCTAAGTTGCAACCTCTCCAACATACTGTTCTCAGATCTCTAATAAAACCCATTCTGCCAGTACACAAAGCTTTGGGACATCTCCCCACTCCATATACCCCAAGGAACATTTTGGATGGATGCCAACAACTGAAAATGGGATGGACACAACAGGACTAGATCCGATTCAGAAGTTACCAGTCAGGGGCCTCCCTGGTGGCGAGCAGTTGCTGGGCTGCAGAGGCTGCCCACAGCCTCTGTAGCGCAGGTTCGATCCCCAGCTGCCCAGGTCCCACATGGCACGCAGACCTCTCCAGCCGCCCGCTGCTCCCCTCAGCAGTGTACTTCAGTCCTTCTGCCTGCTCTGCTCCCCGCTCTGGCTCTGGTGAATTCTCTCACCCTCCCGCGCTTCTGACTGTACCCAGTGCTTGTATAAATAAATAAATAAATCTTTAAAAAAAAAAGTTAAGAGTCAGGGCAAACACTCTAAGTTAGTATCTAAATTCAATGAACACTGATCACAATTGTTATAAAGCTGTGATGATCAATTGGAGGGTAAGGCTAATACACCTTAAGAAGATATAATATTCTCCAGAAGAAAGTGTTTCAAACTACACTCAATCCAAACATGCAAAAATATTGCTTTATCTTGGGAAGTGAATGTTGTCACCTACACTGTTTTATGCTGATGAAAGTTTTACCACATGCCTCAGTATGTGCTGGGGTGGGAATGGGGTGAGAAGAACTATTCTCAGCCACATGAAAGATGCAAAGTCAGTGCTGGCTGGCTACACCTGACATTTTATCAGATACAGAAAAAGAATTTCCACTTTCATGACCCCCCGCTCACCCCCAGTCACCAAATGCACTAAAATGACAAGGACTCTCTACCAAGGCATCAACTGGGACCCCCAAAGACAAAAGATTGGATTAAGGCGAGCATTTTCCTTCTTTTATAGAAATGGTGCACCTGTATCTTAGATGGCATGTTTTAAAAAAAATGTATACAGTTGAAGCCATCCCTTTTGTTAATTCTGGAGAGATCTGAGGTATGTATGAATTTCAGTGATTGATGTGCTGCCTGATTCTACCAGTTTGGGCTTGTAGAATTATTAATGTTACAATTAATAAATATTTAACAAGATTTTAATATTATAGAGAATTAAATCCTCTTCTCTAGGCCAGCAAAGCTGCTTGGCTTTTGACAAGATTGCATCATATTAAATGGTATATGGAAAATCACCTACATACACAAAGAATAATGGGGAGAGGAGAGGCAAGAACAAACTTGTTCAGTGGTACAGGTAAATTCTTTTTTTTATTTTTTATTTTTAAAAGATTTTTATTTATGTATTTATACAAGCACTGGGTACAGTCAGAAGCGCGGGAGGGTGTGAGAATTCACCAGAGCCAGAGCGGGGAACAGAACAGGCAGACTGATGAAATACACTGCTGAGGGGAGCAGTGGGCGGCAAGAGAGGTCTGCGCGCCATGTGGGACCCTCGCCAGTGGCCAAGGATTGAACTGGCGCTGCAGAGGCTGCGGGCAGCTTCGCAGCCCAGTGCTCAACCACTGCGCCACCAGGGGAGGCCCGGTACAGGTAAATTCTGATGGGAGACTTGATTCTACTCTTTCACTCAGTCTCACCTCCAAAGTACTTCTGAAACCTTGCAAACCAGGAGAATGTCACCATTCGTGGTTCCTCAAATATATGCTTACAATTGCAAGACATGACTCAAACAGAATGTAATAACAGGGTTTATTTACAAGGGAGAAATTGGAGGGGGGTGAGAGGAGAAAAGGTGGGGGGGAGAGAGAGAGTTTCTAAAGCTACAAATAGTCCTTTGTTCTACCCCAGATAATGTCCACAGTATCAGATAGTCCAAACCAAAAGCTGTTGATGAGAGCCTTGAGCTGGTGGCACACCAATAAGTGATGGACCAGAAACCACAGTGGCAGCTGGAGGTGATCACAGGTGGTGCTGCCAGGGTAACACTGCAGTCCAGAAGTCAGGGCAGGCAGCACAGGAGGCAATTACAACAGGAGACAGCTCTAGAGGTAGCTGGGTGCAGGTCATTGGCACCAGTCAGCAGGCAATGTCAAGGGTCAGAAGCCAAGGTCTTCCCAGGGGATAATGCCTGAACTCATTTGCTGGTGGATTTTATGGA